AGAGGCTGGAGCTGCCCAGCTCCTCTGCCAAAAACAGGCCTTTCTCCTGGCCCGTCACTTGCTCCACTGGCAGTGGTGGGAACAGCTCAGCCACCTGTCCTCGCAGATGGGCTGCCATGTGTTGCTCAGGTTTCTGAAGGTCAGCGGATGCCTCGTTATCCAGCTTGCTGGTTTGCAGTTGACTCTCCAGCTCTGTGACTAATCGCTTGATCTCCAGCTCATCATCTGAAATGTTGTTTGTAAAACTCACGTTATAATCTGTTATCCTGTCTGGCAGTGGCAGGGAGAGTTGGCTGGTGGGGACAGGTCCTTCCTCGGGGAATTTCTTGGCTAGTGGCTTCTCCACTGAAAGGCTCTGGAACTGAGTCATGTCTTCTGGCAGCATGGGAGCCACCTCCTCCATGAGGGACCAGCCTTTCTCTGGCATGAACGGTGGATACGGTTGCTCAAAGGGCAGCGGTTTGCTGAGGGGATGGCCAGAGCAGGCAAATGTTGGCACGTAACTGTCCTTGCTGGTAGGAACACTCTCATACAGTGGTGGATCAAACTCGGCGACGGGAAGCTCTCCAAATATTGAAGAGGAATCAAAGCTGAGAGGGGAGGAGACCTTGCGCTGCGGCATTTCTGCGGCGTACGGGGAGATGCTGCTGCGCTTCTGCCCGAAGGAGCTGCCGTTGGTGTCATCCTGGCACAAGTACATGTCATCCATGTGTGGGGAGCTCAAGGCCGGGGGCTTTGAGAAGAGGTTGTCATTGTAGTGACCAGGAAGACTTTTGGGATTGAAAAATATGTTGTCACTGCTGACATATGGATCAGGTACTTTGGCAGTGAGCATCATCCCCACTGCATCCCTCCCGTACGGGGCAACCAGCACGGGACAGTCCTTCCGGGCCTCGCAGAGCCCGTGTGCCTTCAAGTATTTGATGCCTGCTTCTGAGAAGGTGGCACTCACATGGCCAGGACTGGCTTCGTCACCGCCGTGGGATGGAGCAATCAGCTCTTCAGCGTGGTACTTCAGCCCATTGCTTGTGAAAGGGGCAAACTGATGCCTCTGGTTGACCACGGACAGCTCAGGGGAGTCCTGATTCTCCAGGGTGGGTTCTCCTGCCTCAGCCCTGTGCTTGGCTGCTCCTTTGGGCTCTTCTGACCCCTCCTTACAGGACAGCCTGATGGAGCTCCTGCCTGAGGTGGCCAAGCTGGGCAGCTGCCTTTCCTGGGGCTGCGCTACTGGCTCCTCCTCCACACATTCCATCCCAGCAACTTCTAGCTGAGTATTCGGACATGTCCTGGAGCCTGCTAGCAAAGGTTTGGCTGAGCCAAACCTTCTGCTCCCCCTGGAAAAGTCCTCTTTGCTCTTCTGACTGTTCTTTGGGCTCCTGTCCTCGGGAAGGCTGAGCAGAGTCCTTGGTGCACGTGCTGGGCTGCCCGAGCTCCTCCTCCTCCTCTGTGAGCCTCCCTTCTCACTGCCTGAGCCAGCCCCATCAGCATGGGGTGGGCTGGTGACCATCATCACACCAGGCACACTACTGCTGTGGTTGCTGCCAGCAGATGACTGGCTGCTCTGTCTTCGGACTCTGGCAACACAATCCTCTTTCTCAGCATCCTCCTGGCTTGGGATCCTCCTGTGCTCCTGTGCCTCCCTCTTCTGACGACCCCTTTTCTGGCTGTACCTCCACGCTGGGTCTTTCTCTTTGGCTTTCTCACATCTTCCTGGGCGTTTCTTGCCAAAACTGCTCTTGGTCCTCCTGATGAATCCTGTGCCTCTCTTCTTCCGTCCCCGGAGCTTGCTGCACTCTGCTCCATCATCATCTGAGTCGGAGATGTAGTCATACTCCTGAAACCTGCCCTCCCTGGGGGCTGGCACCAGCCTCTCGGTGACCTGGGGGACCTGGGCCTGCTTGCTGTTCTTCACTTGTAGTCTGTGGAGCTTGTTCTTCTGCTGCACAATCTTGTGAATGAGCTCCTTGCTCCACGTCCCACTTCGGGGCTTCCGCTTCTTCATGTCCTTTGTGGAGAACCGGGATGGCCTGGAGCTCTTGATGGTGATCCCTGCCTCTGCTTCACTCTTCATCGGAGGCTCCTGGCTGAGCTTCCTGGGATGCTTTTGGCTGGAGGTGGTGGCTGGTGGGACACTGTTCTTCCTGCCTGCCCGCAGCCTGGCTGTCCTCTCCACTCCCACTGCCTCGGGATCGGGTTCCTTGGCTGCCAACTTCTGTGCCACTCTCCCCTTGTGAAGATGCTGCTTTCCTGCCCCTCTCTTTGCCTGCTCCACACCCGGGTGGCCATCTTCATAAAAATACCCAGCCTTAGGCTGGCCTGCTGCCTTCTCCTCTGCTGCTGCCTGCCTGGATTTGCTCTCCAAGGCCAGGGCTTCCTTGGCCTTGTGGGACATCCCACTGCTGGCTGCCTTCACGCCCGTCAGCTCCTCATCAGCAAACACGTCTATGAAGCTGCTGTCAATCTCGGGGTTATCTGACTGGTATCCCAGGCCATTGAGGGCTTCAGTGATCAGGCTGTCCAGCTTGGCATCATCGATGTCCAGGTCTGAGGCGGTGATGGGCAGGGAGCTGGTGGTGAGGCCATTGAAGAGGCCACCCTTCAGAGCATCTTCCTTGCCCTCGCTTTTGCTTTCCCCATCCAGCAAGAAGTCATCGCTCTTGTTTAACAGCAACAAATGTGCTTGGGGGTCTGGAGACAATCCCAGGCTGGGGGGCTTGGTGAGGGGCTCCTGGGGGAGGGCTTTCCTCACCTCAGCTGCCCGGGGAGCATCCTTGCCCTCGGCCAGGAGAGCAGGATGGGAGGAGCAGAACTGGCGATGCTGCAGGAAGGAGGAGAGGTTGCTGTAGTTCTGGTCGCACTGTTTGCAGGTCAGGAGAATGTCCAGCTGGTCCAGGCTGGCACTGCTGAGCGAACTGGCCAGCAAGTGGTGGGAGGAGTATGGTGGTGGAGGTTGCTCCCCATCCAGCCCATCTGAGCATCCTTTGGCCACCTCGATGCCAGATTTGTGGAAGGGGCTGGCTGGGGAATATTTCAGGAGGTTATCATCTTTCAGGGCATCGGGGGGGAAGTGGAAGGACTTGATGGAGTCTGAGGGGTGGTAATGAAGGGAGCTGGAGCTCAGGACATCGGAAGGGTGGAAGGTTTTGTTGCTGTCCTTGGGATGGCAGGGGTGCTGGAAGAAGGGAGAGGGAGTGAGCACTCCAGATATCTGGCTGTCTTCAAAGCTGGGGTTGAGGGGACTGCTGGACATGGGGGAGAGTGATGAGCAGGTGCTGCCACTGGGTGGGTTGGGGACAGGGGATGGCAATGGGGACTCACAAGGAGAGGCAGCCACCAAGGCTGAGGGTGGCAGGACCAGTGCTAAGCCTGCCGAGCTCCTGGAGGGAGGTGGAGGAGGACCTGCTTGACTCATGTTGTAGAAGAGGGCTTTGCCTCTCGATTCACAGGCAGGAGACCCTGGGTCCTTCCCATTTTCAAAGGAGAAAGTGCCCGTTGAGTTAGGCTCTCCCCTCTGGACCCCAAGGCTCTCTCCCAACACAAGCGTTTTGCTGTGATACCCTGGAGAGTTACTCATGGGGGTCCCTTTCTGGTCTTTCCCACTCCCCTGCCACTCTGACGTGCTCAGGGGGAAGGGGAGCTTCTGGCTGGTGATTTGTCTCAACAGCTCAAGCCTGTTTTGACCGGGCATTGCAGAAGCAAGGTGGATTTGCTGCCAAGGCATCCTGGCATTCTTCTGCCTGTGCTGCCTCTGCTCAGGGCTGGGCTGGCACTTGAATGAGAACTGGTTTCCAACAGGGTTTGAATAAGGTGCTGAATTCTGGTCCACGGGTGAAAACGCCTTGGTGGCACCTTCCCAAGCTTGCACAAACCTGGGGTGGGTGGGTGCCGTGGTGGGAACGCTTGTCTCAAAAGGCACGGGTCCGGCGCTGGCGCTGCCTGCAGGGGAGCTGCAATAGGCTTTGCTCTGAAAGTGCACTTGGGAGAGAGAGTTTGGTGGCACGGGCCTTCTCAGAGGGCTGCCCTGGACCAGCAGCCGCGGGCTGGGGACACTGCCCTTTGCCGAGGGTGGCCTCTTGGCGACGGCCGGCTTTGGCAGAGCAGGCGAGTGTAAACTAGAGGGAAGAACGGCTTGGTTCTCTTGGAAAGTGCTTGGGTTTTGGTCGATAGCACCAGATGACGACGAGGGAGCACCGTGGGGGTTGGAGGGATGCTCGCTCCTGCCCTTGCAGCACGGCAAGGGCCCGTGGTGCGAGGCCGG